TATGTTAATTAATATCGCATGTTAATTAAACTTACCTTTACGCGCTGGGTTATAAAGGAATATTAATATAAGTCCATCTAGGAACGGAAGATGGCATTTTACGTTCATGAATATTAGGTGGATTTAGATATGCAGTGTGGCCTAATTTTCAAAAACAAGGTGATTAATCTTAAAAAAATTCTACTTTCGAATGTGGGGCTTTAAAAGCCAAAAGACAATTCACAAAGCATCAATACGTTGTATTTGTCATTGTTTTCCGAGATTTTGTTCTTGTATGACACTTTCTTTATCAGCTAGCGGTTATACTGTGCCTTGAATAATTGAACTGTCATAAAGTTATCAACGAGGTTTGGTACTGCAGCCTCACCTGAGTGATACCACATGTTGAGTTTTCTAAAAAAATTATAAAATGCGAGTACGCCTACTTTACAAGTATCACGTGCTTGCATCTTCCTTACAATTCTAATCCAGCTACTGACTGTGCTTCGCGAGCCGGGGGGTTTATACGCCAACCTGGGTTACATCAGGCACCAGATCACGTTCGCCTCCCTGCGCGCGCTTCGAGTTCTGTCTGCACTCTCTTTCCCTTCCTGAGCCATCGAGTGGCTAAGTTAGGTTTGTTAACTAATAGTGGTTTAATAATCTGACCAGATGGTCACACTCAGGTGGGGCTCCGGAACCAAATTTCGCCAAGTTATCTTTTTGATCTGAAGGTTTTTCGTGAAATAAATTATTTCTTAGATAATAAATAATACTGTACAATACAAACTCTGCTTTGTTTTGGGGCTGTGTCATTTATTTACTTGAGTATAACTTTCGCGAATGCCCGCTGGGTGGTTCGTTGGCTAAAAGGATTTCAGTTTGCAGTTTGTGACCCTTCATCGGATACTTCACGAACTGTATGTCCTACCTTTGACTCGCAATTTATCCTTTTACCTGTTCGCTTCACTTGTCGCACCCATCGCTGACTGCAGATCCGACTGGCAGAGGGGTTGTATGCCAAAAGGCGGTCTTCAAACCCACAAACGCTCCGCAGATTTCGGTTTTTCTGCTGTTCTGCCACAACGAAAGAACGGTTTATGTGCAATCTCATGAAATGTCAACAAAAGTCGGGAAATGTGTCGTAGGTTAAGAAAGACTATTTAAGTAGGTTCTTTGGACAAGATATTGCAGGCATTTCAGGATGCGGGCTTTTGAATGAGCTTCCTTCCGACTGCTTGCAAAACCTACACACTGTGAATGTGACCACCTGAGCAGCACAAATTTCTTCAATCGATTTTCTATGCGCTTATATATTTTATGGAAAACACAAGAAAAAGTAAATTTTCGTGTTTGTTTGGTAAAAGATTACGTCTTTTTTTGAATTTCTTATTCGAGGAAATCGCACCAATCGGTTTTTAAGAAGTCTACGGTCATGAGATTTTTTCAAACCCTGAAATGTCCATCCATGAGTCCCCGTATCAGTCTGCTTATTAATTATGCTTGGCAAGTATTTAATATGGTTCACACGCACTCCACAACTTTATGAGTCGCATATGACAGCTCAATAGAATTTATGAGTTTTCTTACAGGGTAAGTATAGTACTTGCGGTTAGGCAACCTCGAATGCAAGTGCAGCGGCAGATCAGATTTGAAATTATTCAAGACCGTTTAAGACCGAGGGATACATTTTCTCAAAGTATCAGGTTTAAGGAACACGTAATTTGCTACCAACTGAACATGAGAGAAAGAGAGAGTAGTTTTGTGTTTGCTTTTCATAAAACATGTTCGAATTTATAGATGCATCGTCAGTCAATAGGAAAATGTCATTAATTAAGCAGTCATTTTTTATTTGATACCGTTTTTGCGAACGATCGAAAAGCAGCTTGTGCCAAAGCCGGCATCCTGACGTGACTGAAATAAATTGTGACTGTACTGCACGATAATTAGTAATGCAGCCCTACTCAAATAATCTTTTCTTGTCGAAAACACATTTCATGATTTTGGCTAACACTTCGGCAGACTGTCGGCTGCTCAGTTCCCGTCAGCTTCTTTATTCCGACATTCAAGCGTGCCACAGTATCCGGATCATCTGCAGAAATGTTAACCCGATTCCCGAAATGGGTTCGCAATTAGGAAGGATTGCTTGGGTGAGGTTGTAATAGTGATTATCATGCAATACAATCCCAAAATGCCTTAGTCACGTCAGAATGTCGGATTTTAAATGGACTTCTTTCCAATCGCCCACAGAATCTTCAAAAAAGTTGACTACTTACTTAATATGCCGTTTAATTTTTTTGTTGTTCTTCTGAATTCGAGCATATGCTATAGTGAACATGCACTATAATTATACTTTTTGCATGCATTCGGTAGACATTCACGTCTTCTTCAAATTGCCCACTTAAGGAAACGGCATTCTTTGAGTTAAAAAACGTTTGCGACCAGGAGGTTTCTTAATATTTTTAAATGTTCATCCATATAACATCACATCTGCTGATTTAGCAATGTTGCTTATGAAGCATAAAATGTGGTTGCCGACAGTTGTTTTGGGAAGACACTGATTGTCCAACAGTTGCAGCTATGTGCAATCATTTGCCTCAGAGTGGCTTGTTCGTAGGTTTTCCAAGTGACTAACAAAATATGTTGGAAACAATGCCCGCGAAGGCAAAGCTCCATGATGAACATAGGGGTGCACATACTGCCCAGCATATTTTTGGAATCTAACTAACAATGGGATTTAAGTTCTAGAAACACACTCCCGATACGCTTAATATTCAGATTGCCCTGCATTTGTTTTCGGTAATTCAGCATTATTGGCTACTACGTGTATTTGGTTTTTTTCTAGCTTGGTGTAGAGAATTTGAGATAAATAATGTAAAATATCAAAAACTTGGTCAAAAATTTATTTTGCAAGTAACTATACCTCGCTTGACAGTGTCTAAAGCACACTTTTAATGTCTTAACCAGTGAGTTTGGCGGTTTGCTGCTACAGGACTGCCATTCAAGCATCTTCCAATCGCAACGCATATACGACAGAATAAAAACAGCTTGTGTACGCAACCGCCTTGATGGAACAAATTCTCACTACTTGCGGTTTGAAAAACCCAAGCGGTTGGTTGTCAAGATGTTTTCCTGGGAAAACACTAATTTTCCAATAAGTGCAATGATTGGTTAGAATAAGCCTAAAAGTGGCGCGTTCATAGATTCTCAAAATGAGAAGCGAGATACATTGAAACCAATGAACTGCTTGCTGGTTTAACCTTGCGGCCCTGGTGGCGTGATTTTTGACTGCGTATTCAGTTGTCGTGGTTGTGCTAGTTGGCAGGGCTACCTTAGAACTGATAGCAGCGCTACTAACGCTCTTACTATTGGTTAGAGGGTGACGTGCATAGGCCCTCCGAGGCCAGTGGACTCACAACAGTCCGCTATTCTCCGACAAGCCCACTCCTTCTCGAACGTCAGCGCCTTTTGGCAGTTTTAGATGGCGCAGTTGTGCACTGCTTTATTTCACTTTACCTTCCTGCCTCATTTGCGCTGTTTTCAGTTAGGAGTATACCATAACCGGGGGAGGGATACCCAACAGTAAACTCCCCTCCCTATAAACACCATAACAAATAATCACAGCCTTCTGAGCAAACCAGTTTGTGAAGTTATATTGCTTAGCCGGTAATTGTGAAAAAGGGGAGCATCGTCCGCTCAATCATAGAAGGACGGGCGGCCACCAAGTTCGTCCATCAAGTTCTAATGCGAAGCCTTCGCAGGCAGTCATCAAAGTGGAAGGACTATCAGTAGGGATGAGGGAGAACGGGATGGTGATTCCTGGTTAACTTGGACGCCTGGCGATGGCCAGACAAGTCAGGAACGAAAGAAATAATTATGTAATTCTGCCCCTCCACCGTGAATTCATATATGCCCGATCGAATCTGACCCGACAAATGTATCTGGCCCCGTCGGAGATTGCCCGACCTAAACGTCGGTCAGTCAATTGCGCCTGGTTTGTGTTCCGTGCTTTTACCCATTTAAACACTAAGCGCGTCAGGGTCAGTAAATGCGCGTCTTGAGACACTCATCATCCACCGTGCACAGCAGTGTACCTCTTGAGAGAACCGGGGCTGGCGAAAAATAGCCGGCGAGGGGGGAAAGGGGAATCGTGAGGAGGTCAGAGGAACGAGCAAGGACATTATTTGGTATGTGTTCATGCGTCCTCGTTCCAACGCAACACGGCGGAATTCGGGCAGGAGAGCGTGGGGTTCGCTTCCGGCCGGAGCGTCTGAAGGACTCGAACGAACGTCTTCAGTGATCAGTAGACCGGATTGACTAATCGCATGCTAACCGCCTCCGTCCTCGCAAGTTTACACCGACGTGGGAATTCGGAGTTGTCCTGTCGGCTCCTTGCCGATGACTGGGGAGACTTGATTGAGGTCTACGCGGCAGCTGCTACCATGCAGGTGAATAACAACTGCGCTGGCGATGGATTTCGACGCGCTCCGGTTGCATAAGGCAGAATAATACTCTCGCATCCGCTTGCATAGGCGCTTAATTAGTTAACCAATATAGTCTGCTGCAGGGAAAGAGTGAATACGCTCGAGTAAATTAGCATTCACTTGGCTGCCACGTGCGAGCGCGCAGTGGCAGAGCTCAAACGATGCTGTCGACGGCTGTTTTTCCCCTATTGTTACCCTACAGGGTTGTTAATGAATAGTCTAGAGGGCACGTTTACCGCCTCGGATCCACGGTATGTCTGTCTGACGATGGCCAGTTGACCAGATATTGACAGCAAGACTTCCTCATGTTTTTTTCGTAGCATCGAACTTAGGTATTTTAAATTATACGTTATACGTGAAAGGTCGTTTAAGAAGCTCGATTAAGGCTGCAGGAGATTCCGGACATGCTGTAAACTCAAAACAACCAGTCTCCCCTTGTTTTTCTGGTCAGCGCAGGTCCCTCCTTGAAAAGATAATTTTGTAAAAAAAGTGAGCAACGAATAAATCTGTATTTTACACGATATATACAAGGCGACGTTATGTACAATGGTGAGTGTCGGGTGGTTTGATGCCAGTGGTCACTGGTCCTTGGGTGACGGTTCCTGAATTCTATAAAAAATGCAGGTAGACAGGGTTCAGCTCAGTGGTTTATTTTCTCAAAAATTGCAGGAAACTAAGGTTTGAAGCTACTTTTGTCACACCGCTAGACAATCTTGCTTCTGCAACAAAATGCAGGTCACTAAAGGACATGGGAGGAGTAGGTAATGCACGTAAGCGCTTTAGCATTACTTGCAGGAAACTAAATTTGGAAGCAAGGCGGGGTTTGCTGCTGCAATGAATTCGGGTCACTGGGGGGAGGGGGGAGAAATGTACTCACCGGAGAGCTAGATTAGTGTCTAATGTGCTTGTAGATCCAGCCCTCCAGGGCAAGCGTTTGCTCTTTTACACGCTTCGCCTTGTGCCGCATGAGGACGAGAATGGGCATTATTGTGAGACCACTGACCACGGCTGTTGATCCTGCGGCATAAGACATCCTACAAAGGATGGTAGAAAAGATGAATGATACAAAAATATCGAGCAAAAAACATGCGAGTAATAGTCAATAGGTTCTGAGTCTGAGCGTGAACTGCTAACATATGTGTCATCGATCGATGGTGCCGAAGCATATTTATAAGCTTGAGGATCCACGGCTAAACACGGTAAGATGTGGTTATGTAGCCACACCTGATGGACACAGTGCTGTCAACCTACTTAATTATTTTGATTGGGTGTGATTACGTTGGCATGGTGTTACTGTGCGCTGCGGTGTGTGTTCTGTTGGCGGCCTTGTTTCTTTGTTGCCGTGTCTACCTTCTTCGACCCACTGCCGGCGGTCCTTCTTGACTTTCGACCTGTCGTCTCCTATCGTTTACGTTGGACGTTTTAGGGTTAGGGTTCACGGCTGCTGTTAAGGGTTACGGTTAGGGGGCTGGACAACTATTCCTCAACCACTCAAAGTACAACCGCGCATTCCCAATAACTATTCTTTTGCATACACTTTCTTGACCTCGTCACCTCGCGTTCGCCCGCCCCACCTGTAAAAACATCTATCACCACCGATCCCGTATAACAGGCGGTTGGGGTTTGTTTGCCTCATGTGCGGCTACATAACCACATCTGACGCAAAGAACAAATCGGAGCATAGCGCTCCTGTGAAGTTTTCCGTCATAATGGTTACCAACTCCACCTCCCCCCCACTCCCACTATCCTGGGTTTGCATAATCGGCGTGTTTCAGGAGCAATTATTGTCACAGTTCATCCTAGGGCTCTCCCGGCATCGAGACTGCCAACAATCTAGGATGAATCTGATCGGAATTGACACGCACGAGGACCAGTGTAAAGAAGTGAGATTTCACCACTCTTAACTCCACAGCTGCGATCATGTAGCCAAACACCTATCCAAACGAATGAAAGCTGACCAAATTGATCCGTGTTTTGCCTGCGGCACTGGTATTCTCATATACACAGGGTTCAGTGCCTTATGAGATCATATTATTCGGAGTATAGTGTGTCAATTTGCTCAGGCCCCTACAGCAGGTAATTCGTGAAAACAGCGTAAGACAGGGATCGGCAACGATCCTGCTCCCTTCTCCTTCGTGTCAATTGCAGACTGATGAAATGAAAAACCAAATTCGGCCCGTCGGGACACATGCACCTTCGTCATCCCCGTGAATTGGGTGCGAAAGACGGCAGACTTGCACAGCATCTACCACACTCCCCCTCCCCATCTGGGCTTGATATCAAGACATAATAAAGGGAACTTGGGTTGGAAGAGGGTAAAAATGGCATGCTCAAGATGGCTACTGAAAGCCGCTCAACGAAGAAATCGCGCGCCTTATCACTTCAACCAAATAATATGAATACTGCGAAACTCGTAGGGCGTTCGCTGCGGCAACGCTTCATTCCTGCAGCTGCCGCATCCCTTTCTCGAGAACGGTTAAACAAAGTTGGTTGCGTCTAAGGCAGTCGCCATGTAATGAGCATCGTTTAAAACGAATATCAATCAATTTTAACCTTAAAGCTTTAACACAGAAGGAACAAGGACCTGAGCGGGCGCGGGTTAAATCGGGAATAATGAGAAGGGAAGATGCTAAGGAGGAAGTCAGGGGAAACAAATAAATTTTGAAAAAAAGTTGCGCAACAACACCTACTCGGCTGATGTCCCCATTGCGGCGGCAGTTGTGAGCAGGACGATGCCCGCGACAACGACGCAGGGCGCAAAGGCCATCATTATCGTGATGGTTGTCATTACTGTTCCAATGGAATTGAGCATTTTCTCTGCCGAAACAACTACCGGCTTCGAGGTACACATCTACAGATGGAGAGAAAGAGCCTACTTATCTTTTTTAAAAAAATAACCGGATATGCCGATAAAACAAAATGGATTATGCCGTATTGAATACTAGTTTCTTTTGGCGTGGCCAACTTGATTATGCTTTGCTTAACTACAAACACAGAGTGATCCTTACTACGTCATGGGAGGATTCATGTCTTCTCTATCGAACATGCCCGTATTTTTTAATTCATTACTTCAATAGCCATATAAATGTACAGACCCGAAGATAGGTTATTGAAAGCAGACGTTTGCTCGCCAAATTACCTTTTGGATTCTAAGTAATAAAATAGCGCATAGACGTGAGCCAATCAAACCTGACAATAAGCTGTTCCCCCGAATTTTATTCGTTTACTCACGGAGCATATTTGTCAAATTTCTCTAATGATTGCCGTAAAATCAATACAGGAGCCACTATCCGCCAAATAGCGAGACGATGATAATATATCTAATAAATAGCAGCGGCTACTAACGGCGGTTATTCAGTACGACTAATGGTTAGTCAATACCGGAAGTGCAGTGTCAGATTCAGTGACCTCTCTTGCTCTTAAATGCATCTTATATTCAATTCTAATTTTGGTGCATTTACGATATTTGTCATTTATGCGAGTTTCCTTGTCGTCATTTCGACCAATCAAACTTTTGTTCTCTTTATCGGTAACGGCCGAATGAAATAAGCACTTTGGAGGAAAAATAACCACGTTGTATATAGTAGGTGTGCTAACTCAGGAAGTGTTGGCTGAAATTCTGAAATGCGTTTTCGACTCAAGTAGGGTTATAACATTAATCCTCGTGCAGCATTATCCCACAATAATTCAGTTACTTCAGGATGCGGGCTTTTGAACGAACTCCTTTCCCGCCGTCCATGAAGGCCACACTCTGCAGAAATGACTACTTAAGTAACATGAATTTTTCACATTGATTTTAGTTGCTCTTATAAATTTAAATATATCTCGTGGGAAAAATGCGTGAAATATTAATTTCTTTAATCAATTGGAAGAAGATTACGTTCGCTTCGAATGCTGTGCTTGAAGAAATGACACAATTTGATCTTAAAAGTTTCTCCAAATTCCTTAGGATTCGGCCGTCCGAAAGAATCAATACCTCCCGATACCCACCAAAGTGTTTATTAGCATTAAGTTGCTATTGTTCCCTAATAATAGTAATAAACATAATTTTTCACAGGCACCGCTTCGCGATAATTACTGTTGGATACATGAAGTTTACTTGGTTCTCGTTGTATCTACTTTATTCTCATCTTTACAAGGACAAAAGATTTCGTGACTAGCTAGATATAAGTCTGCGACAATGTTGCGGAAAGGGTTTATGAAGTATATTAGGCTTTCCATGAAATCTAGGCTTTACGTATTGCCGTAATAAATCTGAACTAGCGGTCTCCGCTGTCCATTTCATAGCCCAACCCTAAAGTGCCCAATAAAACGAAAACCTAAATAATCCTCGCTGACTTGTAGCTCATAAATAACATGGCTGAAGATTTAGCGGTTTCTGCAAAAACCGATTCTTACTCGGCTACCACCATCAGCCACAGGCCGTAATGACACGAGACTCTTTGACCTTTAAGCACCCTACTATTTACAATCATTTACTGTCAGTTGGAGTCAAAATATTCCAAGCCACAGGCCATTGGAAGACGATAAAGGGCATTCTAGCCTCCCTTCTTCTGCTGATAACGACCCCCCTCCAGTATCGATTCCTGGTCGCTGTGCAACCACCTGTGGGGTTCCTAGGCCAGAGTCCAAACGGAATTTTCTGTGTTTTGACCACTGCGTCAGAACCAGTCGATGAACACCAACACAGGGTGCTCTGTTTCAGGCGACTGTATATGTCTGATTTGGTGCTTTAAGTGGAGACGAAAGCACGAGCAGCTTTTTCTGTCTTGATGTAGGAAAATTTGATCCTGACTACGCAGGGTGGAGTTACTTGCTAGTCGAATGGAATTGCAACCGCCTTTGTTTCAACAAATTTTCACTAAGATTCACAGTCATTAAGATCAAATATCGTTTACATTTGGAAACGACGGTTATATAAACTAGCTCAAGAGTTATAAAAATTGACAACCATAGGCAGATATCTAACTTAAAATCCCAAGAAAAACGGTAACTTTTTGATAGAAACGTACATGTTGTGACTTAGCCTTTTAACTGATCAGTCTACCAATTCGACGTTTTAACAAAGTAAAAAAAGAGGCAACATTAAATCACAAAAAGCATTCTTTCAACACAGTGCCTTACCATCAGGGTCGCGAAGAGCGTAAATTCAAACATGTGTAAACCAGGTCGCGTATCGCATCTTATCGTTGTCAGCCTGCCTTCTGATTGGTGGTTGAACATCAGGCGTGCGTGCATGCGCACTCAGACGCAGTCACACACACACGCACGCACGCACACAAATAACTCTGGTTTTGAAATGGAAATATCTTTAGATCAGGTTTGTTTCATGCCTGATTGGCACACGCACCTCCAGGCAAACTGGGTGGAGCTGACGGGGTGCTCATTCCAAGAGGCCCCCCAAGAAAGCTGGATAATGCTGTTGAGCTCCAGTATTCCAGCGATTGCAGAATCATTATTGGCCAATTTTTTGTCCATACACTTAGTTATTCACTGCGTAGTAGTAAGATGTTAGCTGATGTTTCAGACGTTGAGGGTCCTCACAGGTTTGTCTGCAAGTCCGGCGGACGTCATCCAGTGTCTGGAGGCTTTCACATATAAGCTGAGGAATAGTGGAGGAACTTACATGCACTGCTTAGGTGACTTTAAAGCCAGAAATGTAGAGAACGGTTATACATACAGTGAGTGACCGATCTCATAGAAACTTGGCTGAAATTCTGAAATGCGTTTTCGATTAGAAAGGATTACTTAGGTGCGGTTGTAATACTGACTATCTTGCGTCAGAGTCCTAAATTATTTCGGACTTGGCAGGATGGCGGCTTTTGAATACACTGCTTTTCAATCTCCTGTAGAACACTTACTCAGTAAAAAATGACCACTTAAGTGGCGTACGGTTTTCTCATTGATTTTTGATGGTCTTGCAAATTCAAATACATCTTATAGAAACGATAAGCAAGAATGGACTTTCGTTCAGTCGTTTGATAGAGAATCACGTCACCCTCATATTTCGTACTTAAAGAAGGAGTATAATTAGGGTTTGAAAAAGTTTCTGATTATGAGATTATCTACGACCGTGCAATGTCCATTCAAATAAGGTCTTATCTGTCATTTTTACCACTGCTCCTCGTGAAATGTACAACATAGTCCGCATCCATTGCAAAATTTCGTGAACTCTATGGGGTATCTTTTAAATGGCATAGATGAACATGTGACTTTCTTTACTCGGAACACATTCGCCTTGTAGACTGACATCACTAAGCGCTAATTCAACGACTCCAAATTATTCGGGAATAAGAAGATTTTTTAAAAATTTAATTGTACTCCTTCTTCGGGCATAAAATATGAAGATGAGGTGATTCTCTTTCGGACGACTGAAAGATAGTATGTCTCTGGTTTCCATCAAATAGATTTGAACTTATAAGACCATCGAAAATCAGTGTAAAAAATGCATGCTACATAAGCAGTCATTTTTTACTGAGTGCGGTTTCCACAGCAGATTGAAAAGCGCTGTATTCAAAAGCTGACATCCTGCCAAGTCCGGAATATTATAGGATTATACCGTAAAATAATCAATATCACAACCGTACCTAAGTAATCCTTTCTAATGGAAAACGCATTTCAGAATTTCAGCCAACATTTAATGGATCGGTCACTGACTGTACCTCCACTACTGAACTATCTATCCACACAGTGTTCACTCAGTCCATTTTTCCTGTTTATAATGTTTAAGAACTTCCCTTTTCCTTTATCAAAGGGTCCCACCTGTAAAATTCCTATTACCACCACGGTGGAGAATGAATTTGTATACAGCCGAGTCGTCCTCCTGCAAAGTGTCTACTCTCACTCTCTTTAATGTATTAAAACATAAATGCGGCGTAAACACCATTTTCGTCTTCTTCGCGTTTCCTCTCCTAAAAGTGCGGAGTCAAGTATGTGAAATCAACTCTAACCACTCACAATAAGTTCGTTTCGTCTAATTTCTGAAGTCGGGGAGTTGTGAGAACCGGTTTATTCTGTGTACACAGAGCAGGTTGTCGTGAGTTGGCTGTCGGCTTGTGTGTCGTAGCAAAGTGTCTGTTTTTCAGGAGAGCGCAAGTCATAGTGTGTGTGGGTGGGTTTACGCGGATGTCACATGTCCGTTCCAGCACGAGGGAGTGTCTAACTGAGTGTTTGAAATGCGGTCGGCTGGTTTAGAGGCGGAGTCGGGGGTGCATGATCACAAGGGGCCAAACGGGTAACGAGCCAGGCCACGCGACCCATGGACGCATGGACGCATCCCCGAATCAATGCAGCTGGATGTGAGGCGCCCCACCTGAGGCCTGAGGGATGGCCCGATGGCAACAGTGTTTCATGAACAGTAGGTGGGCTAACTCATGAAATGCCCACCTAAATTCCGAAATGTGTTTTCGTTTCGAAGAGATTAATTAAGCAGGGCTGTAAAACTAATCATCATGCAGCATAATTTCATAATAGTTCAGTTACCTCAGGGTAGCGGATTTAGAATGAATTTCCTTCCGGCTGCATGCAAAACCTACACTTTGTAAGAAATGGCTACTTAAGTAGCATGCACTTTTATCATTGATTTTCGATGTTCCTAAATGTCCAATTATATTTCATGGAAAAATTCATAAAAATATTCATTCTTTCCCTCATTGAGTACAAAATTACGCGTTCTTCCAATATTATACTCGAAGGAAGGGTATAATTCGGTTTCCAAAAACTTTTCCACTCGCGAAAAATTTTTAATCTGGTCTACCGTCACACTTGGATTCCGGAATTCAAAACTTTGAGCCGTATATTTTCCGCGTACGGAAAGCCACAAATTTCTCTACGGTAATAAAGGCGGACCATATAGGGTTCATAAAATTTAGCAGTGGATTTGATTCATATTGTTAACTTTACAAGCCGCATTGGTAAATGCACAGACATGACGAGCTATGAACGGCCATTTCACGGTATTTAAAAGTCCCAGAATTATAAACATTTTTAAAACCGAATTTTCTCCATCCTCCGAGTATGAAATTAGAAAAAGACGTAATTTTCTACCGAAGGAACAAAGGAATGAATATTTTTATGCATATTTTCCATAAAATATAATTTGACCCTTAAGAGCATCGAAAGTCTATAAGAAAAATGCATACCAATTAAGCAGTCAATTTTTACATACAGTAGTTTTTGCATGCAGCCGGAAGGAAGTTCATTCGAAAACCGTCATCCCAAGGTAACTGAAATATTATAGAATTATGCTACATAATGATTAGTTTTACAACACTATCTGATTAATCTTTTCAAAACGAAAACGCAATTCGGAATTTAGGTGGACATTTCATGAGTTAGTCTACCTGCTCTAGGTTTTCATGGCCATCGACTGACAGAGAGACTCCGTAAAAAGGGGCGCTGGTGCGGCTGTTACAAAAGGTCAAAGCCATGAGAGAGAGAGAGAGGAAATGCGCTTTATTTTGAAATCGTAAGTTCAAAATTTTCAGCAAAAAATTGGCTCCATTCACTGTGGGTAGTAAATAAGTTAAGAGATTATTCAACAGTCAAAGGAACGATTATTATGAGGATAGTTCAAGTCTGAGCTTCTGTATTTCTGTCTCTTCGCACGTAAGATAGCGCGCTAGGAATGGCAATACAGAGGCTCTATAAGCCGATGTGCGACAGGGTATAAGATGGAAGTTGCGGCGCATCGGGCGGGAAGACTTGGCAGCCATAAGATCGGAATGTAGGGGATGGGCAACGTCATCTAGAATTCGACCAGCAAATTGCTTGACCGCATTGAAGTGTCGTTGTAAGATTGTGTCAACTAAAAAAATATAAGAAACGCCAGCAGCAGAAGAGAGCATGCGGAGGATTCGTTTCAAAATTAAAAGATCCTTTTTTAACAAAGCAGGAAAAACGACAGGAGAACAGTATAGGATAAAAGGAAGAATGCAGGCATCAATGAATCGCCAGACTAAGGGTTGAGGTGTGTAGTAGGAACGCAAACGACGAATGTAGTAAAGGAGTTTACGAACTTTAATAAATAGGGACTCAATATGGAGGAAAAAGAAAGATTTGAGGACAAAGTAACGCCGAGATACCTGAAAGAGGATACCTCATTAGGAAAAATGTCAGAGGAATCAGGGTTAGGAGAGGGCCGCAGTCGAAAAATACTCTGAACGGATTTTTGGTTGTTAATTAGGAGACCATTTTCCTCCGACCACGCTAGGACATGGTTTAGGCCATCCTTTAGAGACCGGAGGTGTGTCTGACTTTTGAGAGGGTGTCCAACAACCACATCGTCAGCATACTTGACCAAAAGACAGTCATTAGGGGACCTGAGATCATCAGTGTGGAGGGAGAAAAGGTGAGAGGATAGAATGGAACTTTGAAGAACACCGCAGTCATTGGGAAGGGTCGAAGATTTTCGCCTGCCAGATTGGACAAATTGGGTGCGGAAGCTAAAATAATCGCTCAGCCAAGAGACGACCCAGCCTGGAGAGCCACATGCGGAGGTTTTGGAAAGGAGAAGAGGACGCGGGACGGTATTGAAGGCGGAGGAGTAATCAGGAAAAGCGCACGCATACTCGCGGCAACCCTTGTCTAATGCTTTTAGAGCAGAGTGGACCACAAGAGCGACATCATCTAAAGTACTCCGTTTAGCTTTGTATGCAAATTGTAAGGGGTCGGAAAAACTGGAAGAAAAAGGCTTTATGATATCTAGGGCAACTCTTTCAGCAAGCTTTAGTATTGCAGAGGAGCAGGCAATTGGGCGAAAAGATTTAGGACCAAAGTTAGCAGGCTTTTTAGGGATGGGAGTGATTCTCACTGTACGCCAGGCGTCGGGAATCGTGGACTCCATGAAAGGCATATTGATTAGGTGCGTTAAAATAGGGGCTATCTGAGAACTGCAAGATTTAAGAAGAAAAGGCGAGGGAGCATCCGGTCCGGCAGCTGTTGATCCACGGACCTTTTTAAGGTGTTTCTCTACTGTTGCCAAAGACACGGGTTGGAATGTACTCGGTGATAGGGGAATGTCTTCTAAGGGAAGATGGGGGTCATTGTGACTAAATATATAATTTTTATTTAGGGAGTCTAAATCTGCATCCACATGCACCAGCGTGTTGCGATGACCAGTGAGACGCTTAAGATTTTTCCAAATCTCAGCTGAGGAA